CATCACTAATTAACGTTTGTATTACGGGAATCACTATCTGTTAGTGAGCTGTCACTGTCATTTTGAAGTTTGAAGAGTTTCGCGCCATAATTAGGATAATTGTGGTTTTTATAAAACTATTGGAATATGTACAAATTCATTTAAAATTAACTAATGCAACATGAAATCTATAAAAGTCAAGTGATTTAGAGCCCGGTTTTGTTGACATTTAAAATTACGAAGGTATCAAACATACTCGAGACAACGCAAAAGACAGAGTGGAGAGGGAATATCATCGAATGTTGTTACTCTCTAGTTAATTTATAAAATATTTCTTGTTTAATAACCGATGTCATACAAAGTGAAATAAAATGATGTTATCATGTTGTATTGACATAAAATTGTTACATAGTATTAGACAACCCCAGAAGTTGGGGCGAAGCATTAATTTAAAAAAATATAACTTGATAAACACTTTATTCCACACTGACTCGCCGTTCATTAGCGTTATATATCTCCCAAGTAGCACAAAACACCATTATATCAAACTTATAATAGCACGAGTCCAAGCGTTAAGCATTATAATAAAATCGTATATCAACCGTATTTCTTTTAAACGACTCTTATACATAAAATTTGGGCCCCCCCTTTGTACGACTTTAAGCTTTATAAAAGCTGTGCAATAGCACTACAACTTTTGTATAATAGCATTAATAAAGTCGGGTAAAAGCATTCTAATAGCCACAAAAAGTTCAATTAGCACCTTAAAGTGCTAATTGAACTTTTTGTGACTATATTACAATTGATATGCGTAAATCAAAATTATAATACGTTAATTTAATATTATAAAAATGCTTACTGTTTTATTTCCTTTGTAAAAAAGTATATTTAATAGATTTTAAAAACATATAATCGGTTTAAATTATTGTTTTGTGTAAGTGTCATGACATGTTCTCTTGGCTGGTCTTTTAAGTATTTTTGAATATTGATTTAAACAGCTCGTTTTGTGTGAAATAAGCTGCACACATCAGTTTGTGGAGTAAAATATACAAGTTTATGGTGTAAAATACACGCGCCTTCGCAAACTTCCTTTAATATAATAAAAATAATAAAAAATTTAACCTAGTAGCAAAATTTTTTGTTGAATTTTAGGCTTTTTAGCATTGTTTTAACAACATAATTGCTTTTAAAGGCATCTGTGCACAAAATAAATGATTATTTACCCCTTTTCATCTGACACAGTTGACTTTAAATATTTTGTAAGAATTGGAAAAAGAAAGCAAATGGCGACTCGTAAAATTAAAGCATTAGGTATTCAAATATGGTGTAGTAGAGCTGTTAATCGTATTATGGTTAGACACAAAACTAAGAGCTCGTAATTCACCGTATAACACACTCCCATTTTAGTTACAGCCGTATTTTTACACTTCAGAAGTATCTTATAGTGCTTATAATCATCAAACGATTATTTCATTTTTATTTTGATTTTTAAAAGCTTCAATTAAATTAGAATACTCTTTTTTCAGTTTTCACTTATATCCACCTGTTTTTTTTGTTTTTCCCAGCGTTTTTTGTCCATGGCGCCAGCGATGCGTATAAAATGCCACCATTACAATACAATACATAAAATAATTTTACATTTTAATTTCACATAAAAAATAATTACGATCTATTTATTACTTCTATCTCTATAAATAACTTAATATTGATCAAAATATTGCTTAATGTTTTATAAAAGCATAGATTAAGAAGATAAAGGAGCTTGAGCTTGATTAAAGAATACTTTAAGAACAAATCGCTGCTAAAGTTTTACTAGTTCTTTATTCAATGTGTATATAGGATAAGCATTAAATCGATACAACCATAGGCCATTAGAAAACCTTTGTTTCTAGAAAATGACTAAATACAACTAAGTGCACTAAATAGTATTACGTTAATGCTTATATAATATATAATGTTTTTCATATCACCGAAATACGATAACAGCTTTATATTAATATTACCCAATACTTAAATAGGAGTTTTGACATTGGTATACTTTTTTTATTAACCATAATATGGCATTAAGCATTATTAGATAAAATAAATGCCTTTAAACAGATTCGAAACTTGACCAGAGCTGATTAAAAATGTTAGTATGACTTTAGGACATAAATCGGTACTTATTTTTGTTACTATATTATTTATGTGCTACTTGGGCTGACATTTTTTATTATATTGTCAACAATAAAAAACAATACTGCTACAGTTTTTCGCAAGATGTCGTTTTCAACACAATTGTGTACTATTATTACGAATTTTCATTACTTTATCTTAGATTATGTTCTTTCATACAAACTTTGATTCCTTATTTTAACACATTAAAAAGTAACCTATATTTTTTCTTAAGTCAACTCAGTTGAGTGCTTCAGATATGAGAATATAACAGCATAAACTCAGACTTACGTTCGTATGTATAATATTAGTATGGAATTATTAACAACATTGTTTAAAATGATGTTAAGATATTTGAAAATACGAAACAATATTATACTAATTAAGATAAGACAGGAAAATATCCATATACATTTCAGCACTATAGCTCTAAAAGAAAAACTTTAAAGATTTTCATCCCATTTGAAATACAGATTGAAAGAAAAACGCAAATCTTAAGTTTACTCAAAACTCATTAAAAAATTTCAACATACGTAAACTCTTTGAACTAAACAATAGCGCACTTTAAACTTCCACTCCCTTTTTCATCCCTTTAAGTGCTAATTTTTGGGATATAATATAACCTTTTACTACAAGGGTCTTAAACTATTTAAATATTTTCGATATAGGTCCAAAATCAAAGAGGTCTCATACAAAAAAAATAACCATTTTAAATCCCTTTTTGGGTGGATTTTCCAAAAACCAGTTCTTAGTATACTTCTACATAATAATAGTAATGCACCCTCCATATTACAAGTCTCTACGACGAGTATAGCCTAGTACATACACCATCAATCAATAGAAGTAGTTTTTAATTAAAATCAAATAATTAATTTATAACAAAAATATATATACTCTTTGTTTTATAATTGTTTATAAGTTATATTTATTCCATTCTATTTATAATTAAAATATTACTGTGTGTTACATCATTTATGAAGAACCGAATTTTTAATATTGTCTTATAGAGACCATGTGTTGGTCGCGATAGTGCATTCATAAGTAATATTCGTAAATGTTGCACTAAGTTAGCAAGTAACAAGAAAATTAGTCAAACGAAAAAAGTTAAATTAAAGTTTAAAATACGGAAATGGTTAAAAGATCTTGACTATAATGACTGCGAAAACCTCATTTCGCCAAACTCAACATGTAAAGATGACATATTTTTACATTACACACAAACACACACAGACACACACACGTACGCACGTTCGCACACGCAAACACACCAGTCGTACCCCATGCACAGTTGTACGTAATCATCATTTATTCTAAATTGCATGTTCCTACAAACTTTTTATGAAATGTATACATTTGTATAAAATCCACTACTGTATCCTTAAGTAGTAAGTTATAACATTTTTATGTCATTCTTTTGTCGGGAGTGGAGGCCTGATGACCTTTAATACAGGTAATCTTCTGATTCTTACGTAATTATAAAATATGGTTTGCTTTTTTTACATTTATTCTATTCTTCTGAAATCAAAACTATCTTCGAAGCTAAAGGAATATATTGTAGTTACTACCTCTGATGCACATTTACGATTTTCAATTATGCATTTAAAATACTATATCGATAAGTATATTTAATGGAAAATAATTTTAAAAGTCACCACTTAGGCACTCTGTGATGGGACTCGAACCCCCAAACCGGGTTACGATTTATAAGAACGTACCGAAATCTTTATTTTCTATTTATATTCTAATGAATAGGCTAGTCAGATAGGGACAGAATGGGAACAGAGGATGGTATTAAAGAAATACAGCCACTTTTTTTCCTTTGTCTCAAACAAAATTTGGACATACTCTTAAACGTTATTTAAGTTGGTAAGAGATTTTTTGGGTACTATTTCTCCGTGCTTTGTATATTAATTTACGACTTCTGTAGACGAGTGGCTCACACATTGATTTCAAAGTGTCGCTATCACTTCGATTCCCGGCCAAATCAACGGTGGAAAATGAATTCGCACGTTGAGAATGACAATGTCACTAACCAAAATCGACGTATTTTTTACTTTTGGTAACATTTTTCTTTGTTAAGTATAAACTTTAAAATGCAAAGATCCCTGTGACCGAAGCTTGCATAGAAACTGCTAGGTGGCGTAGTGACGATACGTTGTTTAGTGGGGCTGATGACAATTTCTTGAACTTTAAACGCTCATTACTCGAAATCGTATTTTTTGCATTGTGTCACTATCGTTCTCAACGTACGATTTTCTTTCTATAGTCTCGAGTTACAGTATTGTGGTACTTTCATTGTTTTAAATAATGGAGTATCTAATATATTATTATTATTATTATTATATTTACTACTAGCTGTTATCCCGCCAATTTATCCGCTTAATCATTTAGCCATGTCATCCACGTACGATGTAAAGCTTCTCCTTGGTGAAAGAATTTTTGAAATCCCTCTTGTAGTGTCGGAACCAATTCGATGCAAATAAACCATGAAGTTTCTTTTAATATCGCACATATACTGTAAAACCTGTTAACTGGCGATTTGTAACAAAAAATTAGTTAAATATACTAGATAGTATTCGATAGGTAATTTCAAGCTGCATTTACTGGTAAATTCCATATCGTTTTTCTAGAACTTGTCACTTAACAAGTTAGATCAGCATGTGAGCGACATTTTATAGTATTTAAATATTTATCATTATTATTATTATTTATTATTAGGCTGATGGTGACGACTTATAGGGTATTTATTTTCGAAAAGAAATCAACATTGTCTATGTCCTATATGCGTTAAGCCACCTGCGCAGCCAACCTAATCCAATTAAACTTTCTTGTCACAAATGCCTTTTATATTCCACCATTTTTTGAAGTCATTTCTCGCTGTGAATCTTGGTGGATCGTTCAGGATCTTGCAGAGTTTGCAAATGTCTGCCTTCTCGCCTGCCTTCACGTAAGAATAATGATTGTGCCACCTGTAAATGTATAGAAATCTTTAAAAGCAGCCCTTACTGAGTTTCTTGCCCGTTCCTCTCGGTACAAGGTCTCCCGCCGTAGATTTACGGACTGATGGAATAGAGTTACGACTTATCCAGGTGCTTATAACAACGTACTAGATAGAATAAAATGATTTTGTTTTTTTTTTTAGATTATGAAACTTGCCTACTAATATTTGATTTTTTACTTTTTCACGCTTCATGGATAATGATGAAATTCTCTATAGGCTGTTTTATATCGCACTACACGGTTGCTAACGGATCACGTGGGTGAAGCCGCTGGCGGAAAGCTATGCTATGTATGTATATTTTTTACTATAAACAGCACGAGCTTAATGAGGTTTGCTACGGGTAGACATTATATGTTTTTATTCGGAAAATTTCGTCATGTTTATGCCAATTAACACAATTTTATCTCTCTCAGACAGAAATAGTTGGGATTTTTAGTAAGTAGTATTTTGATTACATACTTAAAAATGTATACAGTTTTTATAAGTATATATTTTGAAGTTTTTAAGTGTATATTTATTTTGAATATGTTAATATTAATTATATTTATTCGGACAATTTGGACAGTATCATCATATTTATGCCAATTAACACAATTTTATCTCTCTCACACAGAAATAGTTGGGATTCTTAGTAAGTAATATTTTGATTACATACTTAAAAATGTATACAGGTCTTATAAGTGTATATTTTGAAGTTTTTAAGTGTATACATATTACCATATTCAAAATATGTGTTTTACATATTTTGAATATGGTAATATTAATTACTATAAAAAGTAGATACATTTTATATTTCATATTCTACATATTAACATAACACCCTGAGATGGGATTCGAACCCATGACCTTTCGCAAGGCGAATGCTCTAACCATTGCAAGCACTCATTACTTTTTCGCTACTAGATAGTATATTCTTATCAATGTTCAGGCAATTCACCCAAACAGCCAAATGAAATATCTTTACAAATATTTAAACTTTCGATAAAGATGAAAATATGTTCTAATTATTGTATTTGATCTATTTTGCATTCATACTGAAAAATATTATAAATGAAAAATTCTTAAAAAATCCACTTGGTCCCCGGCCCATTGTATACTACTTATTAAAATTTAAATATTAAATTCTAATATTTTTTAGTAAAATGTAATCTTTTATAATATTATTCTGTTCTGGCTGTGCCCGATCCTTATTACATAAGCTATGTGCCAATCAGTGAAAGTCCCGTCAAATCAGTCCAGCCGTTTCAGAGATTAGATGGAACAAGCAGACAGACAGACAAAAATTGAAAAAGAAATATATATGCACCGTATATACATGAATTTAGCGAAAATCGGTTATTTTAATATTACAATCAGACACTTCAATTTTATTTTTTTGTATGCAATGCAAAGACAATTATACTGGATAGGCTTATTTGTCTGTCAAATGAGAAATATCACGGTTTCTTAAGATGATAAAAACTAACAAATCAAAAATAGATAAATGATATTAAAAACCAGTTGCACAGCAAAACTAATGACAATTTTAATGAACGTTTGTGAATCTTGCTGTTGGCCGATACAAGCGTCATTAAACCTTATTAGACTTATGAGTAACTGACCGTAAGGATGAAAGAGTTCTTTAAAAAGAGTTCAAACTTTTAAAAAAAATAAGAATTATTATTATATAGTTCACTCACCTAAAGTAGTTCTCATATAATTTGGGGTTCTTTATTGCTTTGTTGATTGCAAATGCTATACTGTTTGCATCCATTTCCTTTGCATCGAGATAAGATCCAGGCGGAAGAAATCTAAACAAACAAGCATTCAGAGTTAGTTGCTTTTAGTATGTTTATACAAGTGCAGTCACTTGATTGAAGTATTTTTCTTGTTTAATCACACGCACTACTCATTAAATAAAACTACATTTGACCGGATGTAACTGGCTTACATTGATTTAATATTTGACGTTTTAGATTCTTTACAGATACCGTGCTCATCTATAGAGGTCATTTTTATAATTAAGAGTATAGCATATAAGTATACTGATAATTATTTTATAAGAAGACAATCAACATCTAAGTCTGTGAACACGATACCTAAAAAGAGTCCAAAACGTCTAAAATGAAATCTAATCTCATAATATAAACGGTTTACATCTGGTCAAATGGAAATTTATTTATTATTTATTTTTTGTTATCATTTAAACTTTTGTTAAAATAGTTTTTAGAGTTTTAATGACATCTCAAGGGAATTTTCTACTTGCGTGTTTGTCAATCAGTTGCGCAAACGTCGATTAAGATTTAATGTCGCTTTTAAGCACTAATGAATGAAAAATTTGTATGGGTGATGCCACATTAAACTAATTAATATTTAATGCACGTTTGTGCAACTAGCTGATTGTGTCTTAAATTTCAAAACCAACTATTGTAATAGTTATGAAATTTTACATTTAATAAGCGCACACATTAAATAGTTGCACAAACGTCCATTAACGTTTATGCTCTAATGAATGTCATATTTGTATGAATAATGCCTCATTAGATTAATATTTTAAAGGATGTTTGTGCAACTGGTTGATTATATCTTAAAATTCAAACTATCTATTGTAATAGTTATGAAAACTGAAATTAAATAGGCGCACTCCAAATGTAACTTGCAGATTGACTTCACACAAACCCGATTATGGAATGGGTAACGAAAGGGCGGTATATTTTTTATCTATACAACCCTAATCCATCTTTATTGAGAGTTGTCAACACCTTTAGAATTATTCAAATGTGCATAAAATCTTAACTCACCTAGAATAATTAGCACCGCCATATACAATTGGCACAACATAATTCATAACAGCATGTAACAGTTTTTCAGTAACGTAATCTTCGGCAATAGAATTTTCAAAGGAGAAGTAAAAATAATAATCTTCTTCCAATAGCTGGAGGCACTCCGTGAATTGGTTCTTTGGACATCTCATTTTACCGCACCAACCATAAATATCTATGTCCAAACCGTATTGTTTTAATGCCGTCTTTATATTATTTGCTACTTTTCGCCTGTTATTTTTAGCGTTGCAATTTGATACGAACCATGCTGCCGCTTTAGTTTTCTTTTTGATTTTTTCAATAACTGCGTCTGGTGTAGGAACCATTGGTTCAATCCAAGACATATTGGCTTTAGGACCAACAACTGTCCCGTTTTTATCAAGTATATTTATATAAACGTTGCTTATGTCCGAATCTAATTTATAAGTCCATGTAAGGTTGTAGTAGTTATCGTAAACCTTAGAGCAAATTGGGAAGTTGTCGGCAGATTCCGCTGCAACGAAAACAAAGCGCTGATATTCTGATCTCTCTATCGGATGGGGATCCCACTTATTCTCGACGTCGAACAATATGGCATCGTAAAAAGTGACGTCTGTTATTAGACCTTTGTCATTTGTCAAGTAACAATTGTTGAACGTGCAATTGTAGTCCAGGAAAAGTTGTTGGCCATTCCCGTATATCAGGTTACTGTAATGGGAATATGACAGTGACCATTTCAGTATGAATCTATAGTCTGTCGGCAGCCTCTCCAGTTTTTTCTTTTTAGCGTAGAGGGCGACGACACGTTTTTGTATAGACAGTTCTCTTTCTATAGCAGCCGATGGTCTTCTGGGTAAGTAATCTATTTCTACTATTTCTATATATCGATCGATAATTAATGATCTTATGAAAAGTATAGAGACTGCACTGTACATTGTTAAGACCACTATTTTGTAGAGTCTGGACATTGTATATGCGTAGAAGCGATGAGACAATGAATACATTTTTGTTTAACACAATCGTTTGCGTAGAGTGCTCGTGATTCGCAGAAAATCTGTATCGAGGTATTTGCTGTTTCAATAATATTTTACTAGTAATCATTCGTGTTTGCTTGTGTTGGTGGAATGCAATGTTTTCGATAGCATTCTAAATTCAGAAAACGTTTACTAGTTGCTTTTAAATATAATAAACATACCGGTTTGTTTATATTTTTTGAATAAAATTCTTTGAATTAAATTATATTTGAATTTATAGCTAGTATTTGTTTTTATCTTTGTGCGTTTTTTAAATATAACCTGATTCTATCTATTTATGGCTTGAATTACAATTTTATTAGTTAGTTCTTACCTACTGCTTAAATATGATATGATAATTGTTATGTTTTAGAAGTTCAAAATAAATAATATACTTATCTACCGAGTAGCTTAGTAAATTTCGGTGAATGTCTCTTCGTAAGATTTACGAAACATGTACAATTAAAATATACCTACTATATATTGAATATTTTTTTGTTTATATAGATTGCCGAAACAAAAAGCTTTGAGTAATAATAGTAATAAAATTTATTTGCGAAAATATGGTTACTAAATAGTTTTACAATTTTATTATGTGCAAATATTTAAGTCAAAATACAATAAATTGTAATAATAGGTCTTTACCTATGAAATTGCCGCTCTGCCGTACTGGCCATTTCAATTCAAAATATTTTTTTTTGGCTGATAATTCTAATTTCAAATTTATTTTATTTTATTAACATGGAATTCTTTTTTCTATAATTGTCGTTTGTTTAATAGTTAGTGTTTTATTTTCAACGCATTCAACATTTTTCGTCGTCATGGATAAGTTAAACATTCGAGTAATTATGTAGTATGAGTACAGTCGTGGCAGCAAAGCGGCACAAGCGGCACGCAACATCAATGACGTTTACGGAGCGAACACTACCCGCCCGCTTCCGTACTGGAAATTTTGACCTGAAATATGAACTGCGTGGTCATCCTAAAACTTTGGTCGACAATGACGAATTAAAGGCGACTGTGGAAAGTTACGAAACTCAATCTACGGCTGAATTAGCAGCAGTTTTCCATGTTAGCATTAAAACAATATTGTTGCCTTGCACTGCTCAACAGGTATACAAATGACGAAATTCTGAACTACATTGTTACTTGTGACGATAAATGGATCTTGTCGACAATCGTAAACACTCAGCAAGTTGGTTGGACCCTTGTTCAGCACCCAAAAATGCCCTAAACGAAAACTTGCCCCTAGAAAAGTCATGGTCGCTGTTTGGTATTCTAACGCGGGTGTAATTTATCACAGCTTCTTATCAAACAAGACGAGCATTATTGCAGATGTATACTGTGAAGAACTCGCACATCTCAAATCAGCTATGGTCAATCGTTCGGCCGCACTGCTTCTGCATGACAACGCGCTACCTCATACTGCACAGTAGACGGTCTCAAAGCTACAAGAGCTGGGGTTAGAAGTTCTCCGTCATCCGCCGTACTCACCAGACCTTGTGCTTACAGACTTCTAGAATTTGGATTTTTTTCCAGGATTTGGATAACTTCTTGGCGGGAAAAAGATTCAATACCCGAGAGGCAGCAGAAAATGCTATTGAAGAATTTGAAGAAGGGCATCAATAAGCTACCAATGCGTTGGCAAAATGCATTGATTAATAGAAATAAAAAATATAGGCGATTATTTATGATTGCTATTGGTGATAGATAGGTAACTCTTTATTGTTAACAATACACTATTTACAGAAACAAACATAAATTAAATTTAATTAATATGCAAACAATTGGCGGCGTGGTGATTACTTTGATTAATAGAAATAAAAAATATAGAAAAAATACGCTTCATTTATTATTGAAAAACGACAATTTCATAGATAAAGGCCTAATATAATATTTTTTGAATGTCCTATTGGTCTGCTAATTTTTTATTATTTTAAAGCAAGGCCATTAATAAACTTAGATATACCAATCAATAAGTGACATTATGTAAGAGCTGTGCGGCCTACCTTGACGAATGACGAAATTGAAATGACACATTGATAAGTGCTAGTTGGATACGCGCACGTAGCAATTAAAGTATATTGTTAGCCCCCTTAAAGATTTATTTTATTCTGGTTTTTGAATATTTGTTGTTGAAGCGCCAACATAAATACATCATCTGTTTAAACTTCAACTGTATAACTTTCACGGCTCATGAGCCTTGTGACAGATAGACAAACAACGAAGTCTTAGTAATAGGGTTACCGTTTTACCATTTGGGTATTGGGTTGGGCAGAAAAAGAGTTTCTTGGTAATTGACTAGAAAGGCGAAATATTTATTTAATGTGTATATTAATAAGAAAGGGTGGATTTTGTATAAATGGTTGTCATTTGTGTACTGATTTTATAAAATAATAAAAATTACGTGACCTAATTATGAAGCAAGTAAGGCATTGTACACCGTAAACATCAATAGATATATAATTAGATGATTCATAAAGCAAAGATGAAGATAAGTCATTGAAGTTTACTGATGACGTTCTAATACAATATTGATTGACTAGATACAATTAAGATTGACATTAAATAAAGCTCATGAGGTTTGCTACTAATATATTATTCAATAAAGTTTTTGAAAGGGCCGATATTCTGAAACAAAACTAAATGATGTATCAGTAAGAGAGACTGCAAATAAAAAATATTCGAACACGTTTAGAATAAGTACCTATACTCCAGTTAACGGACGTGAGATGTTTCGGTCGAACGCACGTATGTAAATAAGTTTAAAATTTTTGGCTGCAAGAGAAAATATGCCGGCAATTATACTAAATAGAATATTAAATATGAAAATCTCTTTGTTCACAAGAGCACGCTATCCGACCAGCCAGTGCGGTGGTTGGTATGCAAATGACAACAAATAGAGGAGTGATGCGACGCCACCGTGTGGCCGGATGTGGTATTATTTTAGTTTGAAATGAGAATGGTGTTCATTAAATTCTATACGTTGTGTGTGTTCATTATTATACTGTGTAATGTACAGATTTACATGTTATGCTATTTATTTCACATTACCATATGAAAGTGATTGTTATATAGCAGTTAGTTGTAAAATATTGGTTTACCAATCATACAGTGTACTTTAATTCTTTCTGGACAGCTAGAAGTATGATTAATACGAAAATTGTATTTGCATAATAAATATGGAAATACAGATAACTTATACAATATATTTGATTATAAAGAAAGTTGGACGATTAAGAATGCTCATTGAGATAATTTGAAAGAGCCACTGAAATTAACCCCAGGCATAAAATAAAACGTCTCTTTTAAAACAACAACTCCACAGGCAAAAAGAGCGAAACTCAGCGCCAACATTTAGGCATTCAAACTTTTTATTACGCCCTCTTTCAAAGTATCTATTTAAATATCGAACGGCAGTATTCACGAGTTGCCGAACTTTTTTTTTTCAGTGCGAGGCACCGTAACGGAATATTAGCAAAAAGTCATTAAAAGTAAAGACGCTGTTCATCATAGCGGTGGAACCTCAAAGTTGGTATTAAACTTAGGGACCTTAAGTTAAAAAGTTCATTCATTTAACGGTTCCACGCGTCCGGCCGTCGATGTCTGAATATGAAAACAGGGTGTGCTCGCCTATACCTGTTGTTAAGTTTTGAATCATGTTCTAATTAAAAAAATCTACGAGCTACCCGTAGGAACTCGTAGACACCTAAATATTTACTTCATTCAGAAATCATAATAATCCAAATTATTTTGACTTTGTCATATATAATTTTTGTTTACAATGCATTTTTTTTGTTTAAGCAAAAAATTCACTTTTAATGCGTTCGTTGCAAAAGTAAGAACCCATAATAGCTTTCATATTTATCGAGTTACATAATGTAACTTTTTAAATAGGAGATTATTCTTATAAATATGTAGCTCTTATAGTTTTAGGCATATGGAGGATTGAAAATCGTGTCAAAACATAAACTATATAGACTTTTTTGACTTCAAAATCATATAACAGATTAAAAGGAGGATTCCATATGTTTGACCGATATGTATAAACATCGATGTTCCGCGAATTGTAACGCTACACGTTTTATTGAAATGATTTATTTATTTGAAAGCTTGTTGATCCGAGGTTCGGATTCCATATGAATTTTATCGGAATCGGATTATTAATTTTTTTTATTAACAAAATAAAAACTTTGGTACGTAGCATTAAGCTTAAATAATTTTATACATCATTATGATTAAATATTTTTAAACCACATTTTATATGTTCTCTACAATTCTACTAAAGTCGGGTGAAGATTTTTTGTAGGTAAAATGAGTATGTTTTTTAAATGGAACTTTAAAATGTTTCATTAATGAGCAGTGCACGTGAAAATATTAGAAATCAGTCAATGTTTTATTTTTATATGGATACTTAATTAGAATATTTTGAATTGCTCCAGAGTTTCGACTTATCGGATTGTAATCCAACTTTCTTCGTTTATCAACGGTCTAATTGATTTTATCCCAAAAAGCGGTAACTGCTAAGTAATAAGTTGAACCTTTAATCGGACTATAATCCAACTCCTAGAAAGGTAATCCCCCCTCCCCGTTGTACACAATTGACGGTTTTGCAACGAAACTCTTTAATTTGTAACAGTTTTCGGTTCGTTTCCGCGCCATCGGTTGCCTTTATCCTATTAGTGATAATTAAAACGGATTCTCGGTTTTGTATTCAGTGGTTTAAATTTCATTCTTGCGTTATACTCCCCGACGTAGTTTGAAACATTTTAATCCACCATTTTACGTTATAGTTATTTTGATTTTTGCCTGTGACGTGGTTATTGTACTCGCGTCACAAACATTCTGTTCTGATTCTGATATCTGAAAAGTATCCGATTACTCAACTATTAATGAAATAAAAAAATATGGTTTTACATTTC